TCAGGCACACCCATAAAATCGCACTTGCACCCTGTGCGTTATTTCTGAACTCGGCCCTGTATGTTATCAACGCACTTCAATTGATTATCGGTGAGTTCGGCTATTCAGCGCGGAGTTGGAGTGGAGTGAACAGAGCTAATGGAGTCACCCCTGATACCGTAAAAAGCAATACCCGAACCTTAACCCGAACGGCTGGAGTGCGAATGGAGTCACTCCGAGTGCACGGAGTGAGCAAGCCGAACTCACCCTATATTGTGGGGTCGGACTTTTGTTAGAAATCCGATTCTAAAGTGAAAATATACTTTTATTTTTTCTTACCAAGATCTTCCTTGTTTTCTCTATTCAAAACTTCTGATAACCATTAATTCAAAAGAAACTAGATAATCAGTTTAAATTAAATTTATTTCTATAAGATGAGCGAAGCAAAACAAAGCGAAGCAAAGCGAAAAATAATAAATAGGTATAATTAATTGATAGATAATTGGATATTGAATTTAAATAATAAAGATAATCATGACTTTCAATAAAGCTCTTACTTGCTAAAATAATAGGATTAAATATACAATACAAAAATATGTAACTTTTAAATTTTACAATTTGAAAAAAATAAAAATAAAAATACCACTCACGGTGTTGGCGGAAAGTAGATCTTTTCAGGAATAAAGTTTCAGGTTTTCATCTCTTCTCTTGTTTAAGTTTAAGTTGTTTTAACTGAAAACAATAATTTGAGAAGGCTAACCAGCAGAGTAACTTTCTGCACTTGAAGAGTTAAGTAAGAGCTGCCCACTTTACGCCAACATATCTTTGTTGTGCTCTTTAAATTTCCACTCTTTCAAATTTTTGCTATCTGGCATAGTTTCGGAGATACAGGGTGATTATTTACAAAAAAAAAACGATATTCAAGATGGCGGACCGATTTTGGAGCCTTTTGGTCACGCGGACTTTGGTGGATTTTCAGTATGTTAAAAAAAGACCTATAAAACTACCATTTTCCACTAGTCCCAGCTTTATGGTAATTTGTTCCGGGTTCCCCTATATAAACGACCTAGTTGTACATTGCACTGTACTAAATGTGTAACTTTGTGTTTTTTCAAATCGCCTCTTCGTTTGAATTTTGCTTTGCAAGTGTCACATTCAAAAGGATAAATATCCGAATGTATGAGTTGGTGACTCTTCAAGTCGAGTTTTCGTTTAAATTTTGCTTTGCAAGTGTTACATTCAAAAGAATAAATATCCGAGTGTGTCAGTTTGTGACTTTTCAAATCGTTTTTCCGTTTAAATTTTGCTTTGCAAGTATCACATTCAAAAAGAAAAATATCTGAGTGTATCAGTTGGTGACCCTCCAAGTGGAGTTTCCGTTTAAATTTTGCTTTGCAAGTGTTACATTCAAAAGGATAAATATCCGAGTGTGTCAGTTTGTGACTTTTTAATTCGCCTTTTCGTTTAAATTTTACATTGCAAGTGTCACATTCAAAAGGATAAATATCCAAGTGTATTAGTTGGTGATTCTTCAGAACAGATTTTAATTTAAATTTTGCTTTGCAAGTTTCACATTCGAAAGGATAAATATTAGAATGTGTTAGTTTGTGATTTTTCAATTGATTTTTACGTTTAAATTTTGCTTTGCAAGTATCACATTCGAAAAGATATATATCCGAGTGTATTAGTTGGTGACTCTTCAATTCGCCTTTTTGTTTAAATTTTGCTTTGCAAATATTACATACAAAAGAATAAATATCCGAATGTGTTAGTTTGTGATTCTTCAATTCAGCTTCACGTTTAAATTTTGCATTGCAAGTGTCACATTCAAAAGGAAAAATATCCAAGTGTGTCACTAGATGATATTTTAAATTTGATTTAGTACCAAATAAAGCATTGCAAGTGTAACATTGGAATTTTCTAAAAATATCTGGTACTAATGAATGAGCATCTTTCGAATATTTCTCTTCGTTTATAAATATTTCTCTATTTAGATCTATCAGGTCAATATCTGATACTTCCATTTCATTTTTAATGTCATCCTCTAGGTATTCATTAATAATAAACCTAAAAAAAACGTCATTTAGTAAGATTTTGAAATTATATTACATATAGGTGGGATAAAAATTCCAAAAATTAATACAACTATTATGCTTATTTATTAGTAGATACAATATTTTTGATAATTCATACAAATGTGTTGCTTCACTTACTTAAATGTATTTTTTTTAAAACTACATGTTCGAAATATCTATCTCACATTGAATATTTTTCATTTTAATCGTTTCCCGTTAAATATATTTTTTGCCCAACAATACGAAAAAAGAAAACAAACACATAAAAACCATTGACCTAAATTCCTAGAATATCTAGTTTTTTGTTTTAATTTTGCTTTGCAAGTGTCACATTCAAAAGGAAAAATATCAGAATGTGTTAGTTCATGATTCTTCAAAACATCCCTTCGTTTAAATTTTGCGTCGCAAGTGTTACATTCAAAAGGAAAAATATCCGAGTGCTTCACTTGGTGACTCTTCCAGTCCAGTTTCTGTTTAAATTTTGCATTGCAAGTGTTACATTCAAAAAGAAAAATATCCGAGTGCTTCACTTGGTGACTCTTCTAGTCGAGTTTCCGTTTAAATTTTGCTTTGCAAGTGTCACATTCAAAAGGGAAAATATCAGAATGTGGTAGTTCATGATTCCTCAAAATATCTCATCGTTTAAATTTTGCTTTGCAAGTGTTACATTCAAAAGGAAAAATATCCGCGTGCTTCACTTGGTGACACTTCCAGTCGAGTTTTCGTTTAAATTTTGTTTTACAAGTGTTACATTCAAAAGGATAAATATTCTAATGTGTCAGTCTGTGACTTTCCAATTCACTTTTCCGTTTAAATTTCGCTTTGCAAATGTCACATTCAAAGGGGAAAATATTAGAATGTGTAAGTTTATGATTCTACAAAACATCTCTTCGTTTATATTTTGCCTTGCAAGTGTCACATTCTAAAGGAAAAATTTGCAAGTGTGTCACTAAATGATGTTTTAAAATTGATTTACGGAATAAATTTTTTTAAAATTAATACATAGGTAATATAACGGTATTATGCTAATTTATTGGTAGATGCCATATACCTATTATACTGACGTATATTGCGGGTTGTTTCGAGCTGGTGAAGCAAACAATATGAGATAAAAGTATGCCATCTTTGTCTAGGGGCAACGTTGCTTTCTAATGCGCATGCTCCAATTTGACCAATGAGCATCAATTTTGAGCAGCTGATATTGCAGGGTTGCCAATAAGCGTATAAACTACGTAATTTGCTTGTATTGGAACTGAACAAATATCACTGTCATAAATTAAAGGCAAAAATGTGATCCTGCTTGACACCACAGAATTTATTTATAATTAATAATTGCCTGCTTGAGGGTAATGCCTTCAAGCCTTGCCACATTGGGGTTTCAACTTCGACGAACAACACAGCCTCTCACTTGACTATCACTGTAGTTCTAGTAGATAAAAAGATATACTTATCGAAATACCCTATAAAAAATTACAAATTTGCGACTTTTACAATTAGGCCAAGCAACATAGGGTTTGTAGGCGAAATAATTCTCGGAAAGCTGGAAATGGTATTAATCTCTTTATTTGCATGTAAAAAGGGGTTTTTAAAGTTTGCACCAATTTTCCGCTTGTGCTACATACGGGGTGTCCCAAAAACCTCCATTTTTTTGTATTTTTTCAGTTTTTCATTGATTACTCCGAAATGGTGCATTTCTATGAAAATTTTACTCTTTTATAAATGGAAGTACGTGAAATTCTACGTCGAATGGACACCACATAGTTATATTTGGGTCAAGTGGTATGGACGCTATTAAGGTTCAAAAAACAGCCATGTTAAAAATAAAGCGCTATTGTGATGTAAATGTGTAATTGAGACGTAAAAAATTGAGTTTAAGTACAAATGGCTTTGATGTAATAGTCTGGGAGTTAACGACATATTTCATTGTACTATTTCCGCAAGCTTCATTCTTTTTGTATGTGTTATGCGTGTAGTAAATGATAGTATCATGAACGTCTGCCGGCGCACCAACACGACAGGGGGTTACAGGAGGGTTACAATTACAGCAAAAAATTAACGAAAAAAACTTATAGCCGCATAAGCAAAACTTATTATACGTATTAGTAGAAACATAGAAAGCTCAGAAAATATGGTCTGCCACCTAAATTCCACAACAAAAGTCGTCTGCCACTCACAAAAGTAAAAAAATTAAGAAAAATTATACCGGCAAGGCTGAAATTATTTATTTTTACAGTGAGTTTGACAAGTGTCAAAAAGAGAAAATAAATATTCCAAGTGAAAATTTTCATTTCCGTTTTGAGTGTACGCGATGAAGCCTTCTATAATATCATTAAGAACTCTAGAACATCAGACTTGACCTTTTCACAATTTATTTTGGTTAGCCTTACAAAAAAAAATTAAATAAATAGGAATAAGAGAAAAATGCAGCTTCCTAGCGGTAGTGCTCGGGCACTGCATGCCGAACCCAACTTCATAGGCTTGGCAGACGATCTTCGTTGTATCTTATTTGTGGCAGACTATTATGTTTGTGTTTGTTTCCATAAAAAGAAGTATTTTAATTAATTTCAGCCTTGCGAGTATATTTTTTTTTTAATTTTTTTTTTGCGCTTACTTATGTGGGTGGCAGACGACTTTTGTTGTGGAATATAGGTGGCAGACCATATTTTCTGAGCTTTCTATGTTTCTACCAATACGTACAATAAGTTTCGCTTATGCGGCTTTAAGTTTTTTTCTTTCATTTTTTGCTGTAATTGTAACCCTCCTGTAACCCCCTGTCGTGTTGGTGCGCCGGCAGACGTTCATGATACTATCATTTACTACACGCATAACACATACAAAAAGAATGAAGCTTGCGGAAATGGTACAATGAAATATGTCGTTAACTTCCGGACTATAAGTTTAAATATGTAGATAATTCACATAAAAATACATTAAATACATTTAACGTTAATTGAATTTGCTGCGTTTGGAAGTAGAAGCTGACTGAATCAATTGGTCCACTTTAAGGTCTTCGTCATCCGGAAGCTCATCAAGTTCGTCATCATTATCAGATAGCTTCACTTCGTCGTCCATTAAGTTTGTGTCGTCAATAATTTCATCTGGTGTATTGCTGCAGGACGCTCCTCTACAATTATAGCATATTGGAGAACATTTCATTCCTTGTTTCCTACAACCACACGCATTTCGGCACCCCTTTGAACATTTGCAGGCAGTGTTATTAAGCAACTCCTGCGGGGCTTGTTCGGCTGTCGATGGTACTGGGAGCAGCCCATGCTTAGTTATCTTCCATCCCCATTGAACTGGATCCATATCATGACCATTCCACAAATTAACCTGTAGGAAGGCCCTCATTGAGTGCAGTCTAGCAGCTTCTTCAGTTGCAGGAAGAGTAGCCAGGTTGAAGTTATTTTGTACTAAGGATTTGGTGAACAGTTTAAAGCGTATTTCATTCAGAGAGGAAGATCGGAGAAGCGATCCGGCATACAAAGCCGCAATAACTTGTTCGCCCGCAGCACCAATCTCATCTGCAGTCGCATTACTATTTTGGAATATCTCGACAGCTTTTTGTATCTCCGCATCTTTGTCGAGGAGCTTCACAAGCTTCATCTTCCCCTGTCTGAAAATGGCTGATGTTGAATCACAGTCGCTAAAAGCGTGAAGAAATAAAATATTTCCTTTAACTTTGTTCGACATTTTGAAATGTGTCGGGGAATAAAAAACGGTCTCTAACTTTCCTTTCCCAGGCTTCATTAAAAATAACGAATCGCTATTAGGAGCTAACGCAGTAATAATTACCAAAAGATCTATGTCTTCTCCTACCACAACCACACATTCAGAGTGTGTAGCATTTTCCATAGCTCGTCGGACAATGGTTATATCGGCATCCTCTGCAGCTTGTTCGACAGAGATATTTTCCTCTGAAAATTTCTTGATCAGCATTGAGATCATTCGTTTTTTGTTTCCTTCATTCGAAAGAAATTTATCTTTTGATATTGTCAATAACAAGGATTCGTCAAACTTAACATTTGCGGCCATGAACTTGTTTCTTCTGAGGCGTTCTGCAGATTTTGTGCTCTTTTCTCCAGGGTCGTCTGGATAGCCATCAAATACAATGATTGATCGTGACCCAAAGTATTTTTTGACATATTCCACGTATTTGTTAAGTATTGACGAGAATCTTTCCCTCAACTCCCACGGTACTCGGTGAAGTAGAAAGCCACCGTCGATCACATAAAGTGCACTTCCGATGTTTGACGGGGTTTTCACTGGATTAAACAAATCATAGAAAACGGATTTACGTGACTTCATCAAATAAAGATGGTGGGTATGGAGCCAATTCATATGTAAAGTAGTTTTTGAGTTCGTATTCGGTTTTTTTATGAAATGAGATTCTCCTGAAAATGGTATATAGGTCAACTGGCACTACTTCGTCATGCAACTTGACACTGCTGGTGAAGCCACGCATTGGTAGCACTCTTTTCTTTCTGGAGAACTTCACTTGACCAAAATTGCTTCCAATAATGCTTTCGAGACTGGAACTTCCGATTTGGTCTGAAAGATGGCAATTTACGTTTTCATCTCCTATAACTCCGGTAGACAGTGACATTACGTACTCTCCTACTGGAAAGGGGTTGTGGCAAAGAAACCAGTCTACGAATTTCTTGCAGTCACTGTTATCTCTAGTAATTCTCGATAACCTTGCATCCACATGTTGTTCAGTAGTGCAGAATGAAACACCACAAAAGCTCTCTACCTGCTGGGATACCTCCATAATTGTAGGCATGGTCGCAGCCCATTTAGCCAATGTGCTGTCCGTTATTCCTCTGCCGCGACTCAAACCTCCTGAACTTTTCATAGCTCTCATCAGGCTTTGCTCTATGGTCATATCAGACCATAGACCTGACCAGAATTTATCAGATCTTCTGATAGTGAAAAAGCCGTTTGTCACAAACATTTCATGATCCTTGGGAGTCAGACGGGATTTTAGTTTCAACATATCCTGAAGGTATAAATGACATGATTTCGCGTATAAAAAATGCCCACTGGCGTGAAAGTAGGGTAGCATTTCTCTTATGCTTTGAAGATGCAGGTACCAATCACCGGATCTTTCAGCTTGGACAAATTTCTTGACTATCGTTACCATTTTGAAATACTGCACCCACAGTCTAGCAGTTGCTCCTCTAGACTCCAACTCCTCAAGTTTGTTCGAAAACTTGTCAAGAATATTTTTAACTTCAGGAGTATCAATATCGGCAGATGCACTGTCACTCATTACATGACTCATAAGCTCTAAAAAAGCTAACTGTTCTTTCTCTGCTATATCCAGCATGGACTATACAATATTACTCATTGCAAGGTGAGCCAAAATGTGTGCCCGTAGAGCTCGTGAGTAAGCGTGTCCTGTCATCATTTTGTTGGTTGATGTAGCTGCGTAAGCCTCGCTAAATAGCTCCTGTAACCCACTGCCATCCATGATAAAACCGATAGCCCCCATGAATGACATGAGTAAATGGAATCCACCGAGCCTGACGATTACTGAACTGATTTCTGAATCAGGACCAAATGAAGAAGCTACAATATCTCTTGCCTTTATATAAAGGGGTTGGTCAAACGTTACGAAACATGAATCCTGTTTAAGTGATTTGCATTTATTTGCAGCATAAAGCAGTGCTGAGTAAACTGTATCATAGCTGGATGGCGGGGCATTGATGAATGGTAGGCACAATATGCCTGATTTTGAATAAGATCGGCCCTTAGTAACTTTTTCCATAAACCCATTCCAACCTGGAATGTCCTTACGTCCTTGCCATTTGCCATACGCCCATATAAAATCAGTGGGCAATAGCTTAATCTCGAAACTAGGCAATTTCTCGTCAAGGTCGAGTATGTCAATATCACAAAGGCCTGTCTTAGCTTTCCTTTGAAAAGCAACGATTGGCATTGCTCCGAATTCGCCCAAGGTTCCTGCATTAGGGATTTTTTTTACTCTCTCCATAATAGTTCCTTCAGATTTTGAAGGCTCAGGTGTAGTGCACTGGATGCCTCCCATTGCGTGAAAAGTATTGGTGCCATCTAATGTGTCAATGTTTACGTCAGCATTGTCAAAGACAAACTGTGTGAGCGATTCTGATGGTAACTATATCTTCATTTCGTTGTGTCAAGCATGAAATTTCATAATGTTGCACTTCATTGTATGTGCAACAAAATCCTGTCGCTGAAACAATCTCCAAGAGATCCCTTGAGCCATATTTTCGATGAATAAGCGCCCCTAGGCCAACTTGTAACGCTGATCGATAAGATTTCAGTCGCGTAGCTGCAATAATTGCGTGGGCGATGGATGTAATTTTGGTATTGACTTTGTCATTATCTTGACTCTTATTAGGGGCAATAATAGTTGATCTTAGGAGCAAGTCAAGCGATTCCGGTATGTCGTGTTCAACATTATCTAAAAAACTGTTAGGTGCAGGATAGGAGGTGAAGTTATATATTCTTGAACGAATGTCCTCACGGATTATGGCAGCAGCTGCTTTTACCACACGGAGTTTCTCTCCCTCTTTGTCAGCCAGTTTTGACTCGTACCATTTCTCAGTCAAGATCGTGTAGCCTGTGTTCTTGAAGCATATTATACTGGGACTGAATCTGTTCTTACCAATTGTAACTATAATGTCGTCTCCATAAACATTCTCGAGCCTTTTTTTCAGAATGAGGGTTGTTGGGATTGGTCCACTATAATCTTTGAGAATATCACTCAGTACAAACTGGCATTGGTCTTCATTTGCTTCAAGGTATCTGCATATGTAATCTACTGCAGCCGTCACTTCTTCATCCTCTGGGCGGCCTCGCTTTGTTCCTGATTGTACATATTCTCCGAAATAATTTTTACAGCATGATCCATGATACCTCCCTTCAGCTGCAATAAGATCAATCTCATTTTCAATTCGAAAAACTACAGCGTTACTCCATTCATCACTTTTCCTGGTTGTTTTAGCTGCATCAATAACCTTTTGCTTAAAATCCAGTTTAGTCACTTCATGAACTTTTTCGCGTCGTGATTGGTTTAATTTTTTTTGACGTTCTATAAATTGATCGGAGGCATCTTTTCCACAAAAGAGACAGTGTCCCTTGAAATCAAACAGCGGTTGATTCGATCTCCTAGAGGCGCTAGGTCTAGAAGACTGCTCAGCTAGTGCAGCATCAATGTAGGACTGCTTATTGTAGATTTTTCTGCATTTTTCATGAACAGTTACAGAGGTTTCATCCTTTAACAAAATGTGTTTCCCATCCTTTCTTTTTTTACTACTATCCATGAAAGTTAGAATACCTTTTTCTTTTACTGTTGTCACCTGTAACAATGACAATTTTATAAAAAAAATAAAAAGTAGCACACTATATTGTTCGAATATATATTTAAATTTGTCCAATATTGCGTATATTTAGACAATATTGGCCAGAATTTGATAATGTGCCATGTGAGATATAAATGAAAGTCAGTGCTATTGTACAAGTGAATCACTCACATGACATAGCAAGAATGCCGCATTAATAAATAATGGCCAAGTAGGCACGTCAAAAACTTCGAAGAGAGAAACACAATCAGCAGGAACAGGTTCTTAAAACAAATGGATCATTGCGCATCATGTTTGGGATTGTTGCAATGCAAACCAGGGCTGGGATCACGACAAGTAGAATTCTACTTTTATGATGACACCCGCGATCTATTTAATGCCTACAGTACAGGCGATGATGACGTTTGCTAGGCAACCTAACGTCATGAAAGTAGGGTTGCGTTTAGAAATAGCACTCTAGGTGTCAGAGTGACCCTAGAAGGTTATATATGGCGTTTCCGATTGGTAAATTCAGTGCGCACTGAGTGTATTTGCATCCTTTTAATCGACCTGTAGAAGAAAAAGACAGAAATAGAAAAAATTGCACTAGTTCCGCACTAAATCTACCAATCGGAAACGCCATAACATTTACCGAAACGCCCCAATACGTTCAGAAATAGCGCACTCCAAGTGATAACGTCAGAACACTTTGACAAACAACTACTCTATCTTTACACTCCATTTCTAAACGCACTCTTGCATTCTAGTAGAATTCTACTTGTCGTGATCCCAGCCCAGTTTCGGATTTTATCAAGTTCGGGACAAAAAAGAGTACATTTAATGTGTTCTAGAACAGCAATCGAACAGAGAACTATTGCGCATCATGCTCTCGACTGTCCCAATGCAAACCAGTTTAGGATTTTATCGAATTCGGAACAAAAAAGAGTACGTTCAATGTGTTCTAGAACAGCAATCGAAAAATTCAGAATTCCTATAACTAGTTCTAAAATAGCTTCGAAGTTGTTCTAAGTAAACTGCGAACAAAAATCAATGTGTTTCGGACTCTAATTTAAAATTTCCTGATCGTAAACCAATTCAGAACACCACGAACAAGAAAGAGTAAATTTAATGTGTTCTAGAACATTCATTTAGGATTTCTTGTTCGTGAATCAGTTCAGAGCCGCTTTCCAGTATGGGAGTGTGACGCCCGGAGCTACTCAGGGCGTTGAGCTCCCGAGCTGTACGTACGCGTCAACCTATCAGCTGTCACAACCGTGGGTGGCTATTTATCTATTTATTTCTTGTTATATCTCAAGATTGAACATTTTAAAATATATAGTTTTGATTCTCTTTCATTTTTGATAAATAAAAAAACAAACTGCACAAACAAACAGATAATTATTTTTAAAATTTGACATATTTGACACTAAGACAGGCGTCTCACGCCATGATACTGGAACGGTACAAATCTAGTGCGTGGCGCCCCCGAGGTGCTCTAGAGCGCGCCAGAGCGCGCCAATGTGCATACTGGAAAGCGGCTCAGGGTACTTATCTGAAAACGAACAGGTTCTTGGTTATTCTTTAGAGCAAATGTAGCGGATTGTGTTCGGTAGAATGTCATTTTGTCGAGTTCAGATTACTTGGAACTAAAAAGAGTCAATCCGATACGTTCTAGAACAACAATCGCAAAACTCAGACCTTTCTACAACGCAACAATTATCAAAAATATTACAAATGAGTCACTAACGACATTTTTTTTAATAGAATTCTATTCAATGTTAACTCTGGAACACTCATTTTGGATCCAGTATGTTCGGAACAAATTGGACAACTTTAACAGTTACTCTATCTGTTCTGAGAATCTGTTTTTTAATGCACTGAATGAGCCAACCATTATTCACTATTTTTAGAGTAAATGAAGCAAGTTATTTAGAATTGTATTTTTTTTTTTTAACTTTTTTCACTCTTTAGAGTAAGTTTATTCACGTTCAGGTATAAAAATAGTAAATTTAATATGATCTAGGACAAACTAATCGACCCAGAACTGGTCTTAATTGAATTATGAACAAAAAAGAGTAAATTCAATGTGCTTAGAAGATTTTGCATTGTTTGATTGCAAACCAGTTTAGAGTGAGGAATTTTAACAACGAACGAGCTCGGAACAGGCTCTTGGTCAATCCTTAGAACACATCGGACCGATTTGGAACTGATTTTAGTTGATCCAAGAACTGAGAACAGATTCAATTAGTGCTACCAATAAACAAACTAAAACAATAGAAAAATTATTTACAAAAATTGAAGACAAAGAGGAAACTCTGAAATGTTCGAGTTCGAATGATTTATACAGTATTCCTTGTAATCAGTAATCAGTGTGAAAATTGTTATATAGGTCAAACATCCAGAGTTCTTAAAGACAGAATTACTTCCCATAAAAGTGATTGTAGATTAGGAAAGAATACTCTGGAGCGAGTTCAGGAATGACACAGCCAGTGTGAGTGTGACACCGGTCCGACGCCGTAGCTGTTCAAAAATGCTAGACGGTGCTATAGGCCCAATAGCCAATTGTCAATTCAGGCACACCCATAAAATCGCACTTGCACCCTGTGCGTTATTTCTGAACTCGGCCCTGTATGTTATCAACGCACTTCAATTGATTATCGGTGAGTTCGGCTATTCAGCGCGGAGTTGGAGTGGAGTGAACAGAGCTAATGGAGTCACCCCTGATACCGTAAAAAGCAATACCCGAACCTTAACCCGAACGGCTGGAGTGCGAATGGAGTCACTCCGAGTGCACGGAGTGAGCAAGCCGAACTCACCCTATATTGTGGGGTCGGACTTTTGTTAGAAATCCGATCCTAAAGTGAAAATATACTTTTATATTTTCTTACCAAGATCTTCCTTGTTTTCTCTATTCAAAACTTCTGATAACCATTAATTCAAAAGAAACTAGATAATCAGTTTAAATTAAATTTATTTCTATAAGATGAGCGAAGCGAAACAAAGCGAAGCAAAGCGAAAAATAATAAATAGGTATAATTAATTGATAGATAATTGGATATTGAATTTAAATAATAAAGATAATCATGACCTTCAATAAAGCTCTTACTTGCTAAAATAATAGGATTAAATATACAATACAAAAATATGTAACTTTTAAATTTTACAATTTGAAAAAAATAAAAATAAAAATACCACTCACGGTGTTGGCGGAAAGTAGATCTTTTCAGGAATAAAGTTTCAGGCTTTCATCTCTTCTCTTGTTTAAGTTTAAGTTGTTTTAACTGAAAACAATAATTTGAGAAGGCTAACCAGCAGAGTAACTTTCTGCACTTGAAGAGTTAAGTAAGAGCTGCCCACTTTACGCCAACATATCTTTGTTGTGCTCTTTAAATTTCCACTCTTTCAAATTTTTGCTATCTGGCATAGTTTCGGAGATACAGGGTGATTATTTACAAAAAAAAAACGATATTCAAGATGGCGGACCGATTTTGGAGCCTTTTGGTCACGCGGACTTTGGTGGATTTTCAGTATGTTAAAAAAAGACCTATAAAACTACCATTTTCCACTAGTCCCAGCTTTATGGTAATTTGTTCCGGGTTCCCCTATATAAACGACCTAGTTGTACATTGCACTGTACTAAATGTGTAACTTTGTGTTTTTTCAAATCGCCTCTTCGTTTGAATTTTGCTTTGCAAGTGTCACATTCAAAAGGATAAATATCCGAATGTATGAGTTGGTGACTCTTCAAGTCGAGTTTTCGTTTAAATTTTGCTTTGCAAGTGTTACATTCAAAAGAATAAATATCCGAGTGTGTCAGTTTGTGACTTTTCAAATCGTTTTTCCGTTTAAATTTTGCTTTGCAAGTATCACATTCAAAAAGAAAAATATCTGAGTGTATCAGTTGGTGACCCTCCAAGTGGAGTTTCCGTTTAAATTTTGCTTTGCAAGTGTTACATTCAAAAGGATAAATATCCGAGTGTGTCAGTTTGTGACTTTTTAATTCGCCTTTTCGTTTAAATTTTACATTGCAAGTGTCACATTCAAAAGGATAAATATCCAAGTGTATTAGTTGGTGATTCTTCAGAACAGATTTTAATTTAAATTTTGCTTTGCAAGTTTCACATTCGAAAGGATAAATATTAGAATGTGTTAGTTTGTGATTTTTCAATTGATTTTTACGTTTAAATTTTGCTTTGCAAGTATCACATTCGAAAAGATATATATCCGAGTGTATTAGTTGGTGACTCTTCAATTCGCCTTTTTGTTTAAATTTTGCTTTGCAAATATTACATACAAAAGAATAAATATCCGAATGTGTTAGTTTGTGATTCTTCAATTCAGCTTCACGTTTAAATTTTGCATTGCAAGTGTCACATTCAAAAGGAAAAATATCCAAGTGTGTCACTAGATGATATTTTAAATTTGATTTAGTACCAAATAAAGCATTGCAAGTGTAACATTGGAATTTTCTAAAAATATCTGGTACTAATGAATGAGCATCTTTCGAATATTTCTCTTCGTTTATAAATATTTCTCTATTTAGATCTATCAGGTCAATATCTGATACTTCCATTTCATTTTTAATGTCATCCTCTAGGTATTCATTAATAATAAACCTAAAAAAAACGTCATTTAGTAAGATTTTGAAATTATATTACATATAGGTGGGATAAAAATTCCAAAAATTAATACAACTATTATGCTTATTTATTAGTAGATACAATATTTTTGATAATTCATACAAATGTGTTGCTTCACTTACTTAAATGTATTTTTTTTAAAACTACATGTTCGAAATATCTATCTCACATTGAATATTTTTCATTTTAATCGTTTCCCGTTAAATATATTTTTTGCCCAACAATACGAAAAAAGAAAACAAACACATAAAAACCATTGACCTAAATTCCTAGAATATCTAGTTTTTTGTTTTAATTTTGCTTTGCAAGTGTCACATTCAAAAGGAAAAATATCAGAATGTGTTAGTTCATGATTCTTCAAAACATCCCTTCGTTTAA